CACACGACATATTTAATTGTGAAAGTGTTGAACTTGGGTCAATTCCGAATAAATTGTAAAAACAAAAAAACAAAACAAATTAGTTTGTTTGATTGCCTTACTGACTGAGGTCTCACAGTCGCTCCACAAAAAGCCTTGTGAGTCATGCCATATGAATGGAAAAGGCTGAGTCTCAATTCCGCTGTCTAGGACAAGGGCAGTGCTGTGCCTGCGTGGCCAAGTGTTGTCTGTGCAGCGGTCACCCCAGATGGCAATGGAGGGTTGGCCCAGGAGGAGTAGCGTCCATGTCACACCCAGGGGTGCTCCGGCTGAAAGGACGTCTGAAAAGGGTGGCACACGGCGTGAGGTAGTAAGCACAGCCGGCGTGCATGGCATGGGGCCATCCCAGCATGGGGCCTTGTGAGCCATACTATTGGGTCGCTGTGGTCTACGGTAGGTGTTGGTGGAGGAGAGACCACTGCCAGACATCGTCAACCGGTAGTAATGCTTGCTAAGCTTGGCGGGTGGTATGTACCCACTGCCCAGACCCAGCCTGTGGGGGAAAATTTCAACTCCCAAGTGCAGAGCCACTCTGCACTATTGTTGACTATGATGCCCTGATGGCAGAGTTACGGAACTGAGCATTCAGATATCATACCCACAACAGCTCAGACCCTTGAAGTGTGGAATGGGCTAACCCTGAACTGGACAGAGGATTTTACTGCCAACAGAAATTTGTGCAAAATCACAAGTATAGCAGGAATGCCACTCGATCCTCTGCGGACAGATTCCCGTCAGTCTAAAGGGAAAAGTGGGGGACAGCAGAATCGGATCGCACGCACCACCAGGCCTCATGGAACCCCAGTTGACCCTATGTATACATGTATTGCTCGATGTAGCCTATGAAATGCATACACATAAAGACGGAAGAAAATACACACAACAAACAAGAAAATACATCAATATGTTGAATGTACCTTTATTACAATACGTTACAGTTGGTCAAAATAGCACAGGAACGTGGTAGCAGAATGGAAACTCAAAAAACTCAAAGATACCAAATTTGACATGTCTGTTAAGAATACGGTTGATCAAGATTTCAGCAAATAGAATCAGACGCTAAGGAATTTGCATATGTATGACTGTTTGGGGTAGGATGAAAGCAGAAGATTCATTTATGACATATGAAAAATGAAGATACCGCAAGACTAAAAAAGCTAAGAATGTTCTGAAATATCAAATTAATATGTTACTTTCAAATGCTTTAAGGTTTTTATGGCAAGTTACGTGAAAACACACAAAACAACTGTGACTTATTTTTACACACATACTTCAAGCTGTGTATATCAATAATCTTTTACAAAGCATCCAGAATTACATGTAGACTAAACATTGACATGGGAAGAAACACACGAAAGTAAAATGAAATGGATCCTTTTGTACCAAGGAACAATGACAAATTACTTATCAAAAACAATAAACTGGCTCAGTCCTCCCAGTCAAAATAAAAAATAACACTTTGCTTAAAAAGTGACTTACCCTGTTCCTCAAGATTTTCAGAATCTTGTGCCTTTTTCCTGCAAGAGTAAATAAAATACTTTTAAAGCTGAATTTTTATTATCTAAAAGACTTTCCTGGTCAAACCAATTGTCAACAGCATCAGTTTTGATTTCACAATTTGTTTGGTCACAAATCTAATTCGCTTAACCTCCCAATAAAACTGTCCTGGACCAATGCTTGCACATTTGCTAAGAAATGATTCTGGTCAGGACAGATTCTTTCACTTCAGGAGTTGGATTAGATTGTTATGTTTTAAAAATCCATGCAAAGTGTATGTCTTGATAAATCATGTATTTCTTTGTGAAATGAAAGTTTGTACAAATTTTAGCCTTTTAAATGACAGAATAGTCGGCATAGTTGTTACAGCTGAACAGCACAGCCAAACTATCTTCAATTCTAATGAGTGGATCCATAGCAACAAACAGCGTGACATTTTACAATTGTTGACTGCAGGCATAATGCCCTCTGCTTTGCCTCAGGGCACTATGTGTCCCTCGGTGTTCAAACGTCAAATCCCAAATCACAGCAGTCACATTTGTTTTGTCATACCTCTGTCTGAATGGAATTTATTGACTGAAGTTCAGAGGACAATAGGCCTATATTAATAGACGTAAACGATATCTGCAATGCACTGTTCCCTCACTTTTTTATTTGCGTAAACTTTAATGTGAAAGTAGTGCAGGCATTAGTGAGTACAAGTTCACATGTCATGTTGTCTGGTTAGTGGTTCCTGCATTTATTCCTTCAGTATTTTCGAAATGAGTGGCTTTAGACTTTTGATTTAGCTGGTTCCAGCCATTTTGATGCAATATTCGAAACCACATGCTCACGCTCTGACTGGAACCAGCAAAACCGAAATTTAAGCCGAATCCACTCGTTTCAAAAATGCTTAAAAGCTGAGGAGACAGGAACAAGTCTGTTATACAAGTGCAACCGTTGATCGAATTCCCTAGTGACCTATGCACAAATCGTGTGATAGGTATCACTCAAAACCAACCAAGTGAGTGGCAAAGTCGCTCTCAAACTTCCTGAAACTCTTGTCTCGTGCACATGCGCATCGGAAGAATGAGATTCAAGATTCAAATTTATCATGGTCCATGCAATATTCACATAGAAATGTACTTTCCATTGGCTTGTTACATTCATCAATATTACAACTACAATCAATAACAAAACAAGTAACATAAATGGCAATCACAGTCGACAGAGATAACAATTTCCTTAATGAAATTGCATATTGTATCCCTTTATTACCAATGAAAGTGAATTGGGGGAATATCCAAATAGTTACTGTCTCACATTTGCATTATAACAGTGTAATGAATTTGGAATAAAAGCCTGTCAGTATCAAAGCCAACGTGTGAGTGAGGGGCATAGACAAATCTCAGAAAGATTAAACCCGTAACATTCATTAATCATGAGTGGACCGGTTATGTCCGACATTCTCTCTTCAGTGTTCTCCACGGCCTAAAATTTTGGCAGGGCGGTCCGCCCTGCTAAAATAGCCCATGGAAAACACTGTCTTTTGTACTTTGGCCAGGAGACAAGTGTCATACTTGGACAGGGGTTAGTTTTCCTAGTATGATATAGTTAGTCTACCCTTTTGTCCTTTGGTCAAACTACCAAAGGTGCAAATGAAATTAAAAGCAACCACACGCTGAAAAACTGATTGATAAAAGACAGTCATGAGAGTCCTATCCGCATGACATTTCTTGAGCTTTCAAAGGAAGAACATCCTCTGACTAGCTTTTTTCTGAACAAATCCTTCCCCACATTAAGTGTAGGTTGGGTCTACTAGAGAATACCTACCCAAACAGTCACTACATATGCAAATTTCCCATGTGCGTATTATTCACTTGCTGAAAAGATTGGATTACCATAATACAGCGCAGCCTCACCGCTATGATCGTCCTTCTTTTTGAAAGCGACTCAAAAAGGTCGGAGCCAAAGAGGGGAAGACAGGCGGGAGAGGACTGTCTACGGCACTCTACCTACCCAAACAGTCACTACATGTGCAGAATAGCACTGGTCTACATGTAGGTGGGGGCTGGTGACGACACATCTAATGCAGAGAATACACTTTTACATACAAACAAGGAGGAATGTGAAAATTTAAGAAATGGTAAATGAACTTCATAATGACTTGTCGTCTGTCCTTCAGGTGGTCCCTTTGACCTGTGCTGTGGACAGAAGGATTATCCTGCCATTTGTGATGTCACTCTGCAGGACATCCCTCAAGTTGCAGGAGGTAGGAGACTTCCAACATGCAATTTTGCAAATGTTTGCAATGGAAACATCTCGAGAGTAAGACCAACATGCAGATCCTGCTCTTACGCCATGAACCCTGATGTAGTAATGACTAAGTTCATCAGAGCTTAATGGCCAGACTGATTAACAAATCTAAAGGCCGAAGCTGTCCAGCAGCCAATAGTGTACTGACACCGTTGGCAGGTGTGGTCTCACAAAAGCGATAAGCGATGGGGTTAATATCGTCCCTTTCATGCTATCCTTTTAGTCAGGTACCACTTCAGGACATGAACAGGCACCCAAAGTTTATGCGCATCGTCTCCAGGATGTAAGGAGGTAGAGAGAGTAAAGACATTGGATAGATCAGGTGAGGGAGCCTGATTCTTCGTCAGGAAGCCAATTGATGGAATGAGGTGAACACCATGCAGCTCCCAACATAGACAGCCTTCGACAATGGGGAGAGCCTATAGTTTGCTGCTTCCTCAGGATGTAACCATTTTCAGGAAAAAGGCCAACCTGACATTATTTAGGATTCAAAGGAAGGACCAGAAAGTATCTAGAGAACCTAGCTTAGGTCTTATGACCAGACCGATTTCCCAACGAATGGATAAGCATATCATACAAAAGGTAATGGAATGTCATGTTGTTAAGGGCAGTTTTCAAACCAACGTGTATGGCAGCTAGGGCTGACGTGTAGATATGAGTTGTAGATACACATGTACAGTCGAACCTTGTTAATAAGAGCACTGATAATACCAGGTTCTGTTTTAGCACTCGCAGGAGCGTTAGCTGAAGCCAAAGTCTGACTATCGACGCACATAACACAATGCTAAAATCTGCTGTCACAAATTTGAAAGGTGGGCAGTAATGTCCCAGACAACCATGGCTTTAGCATTGCTAGAAAGTCCCGCCGAAGAGGAAGATTGTGGGAAGTTGATCATTGTTCAAGGAAGTGAAGAAACTGATGTAAGGCTGCTCTATCATCCCAGGGAGAGTGCATCTTCCACTACGTCATCGGACCCTGCCATGTGGATTGTCTGCAGGTAAACTGCATGATCCCTTGTCCTTTCCATTAATGCAGCTTTAGTCGGCAGAGTAAAAAAAAAAGGCAAGAAAACCGTAAGACATACTCAAAGACGGAGATGGCATTATCATTCAGAGTCTCTAGCATGCCTGTAGTGAGGTCTGGACAGAAAGGAGAACTCTCTTTTCCCATCAAAGGAATTTACCTCGATAAGAGGGGTAGAAATGAAATAGGTCAGAGACCAAGACAAAGACTTCATGTAACCTAGATAAAGTTGGTGTCAGTCTTTATTGAGCAAGGAGTTCCTAAGAAAGAGGCTTGCTTAGTCAAATGCGCAAGTTATTTTTAACAGCAGTGTATAACACTTGAATATACAGCAGTGAATATACAGCAGTGTATAACACCTCTATAATACCTGTCAATACATGGAAAAATAATACACATACATGGCAACATGTGGACACATTTACATGTGCACACATGTGGTGCACATGTTAAGCATCCATCCAAGTGGGTTAATTGAAACGCTTATAAGACATGTAAGACAGCGCTAAAACGGCAATCTACTGTAATTCAGCTGTTTGGTGTTCAGTGCTTGTCTCCAACCTCCACCATAGCCAGCTTTGATTTTGCCTGTCGCATTGTATTGTGCTCAAAACCAAGAAACATACTGCGTTGAAATTTTAATGCTTTCTTCCTCAAGTAATCTGACAATTCCTGAGAATTTGAAGAACTTTTCTCTCAGACTGATTTTCCTCCACTTTCCGTATTCAGAGATGCGCATGTTTGAAACCACAGAGAAAAAAACTTCCTGATGTCCACATGTACATGTACATGCACAAATACTACTTAATGAAGAAAGCTTGCAAAATTATTTCCCCACTTCCAGAGAAAATCTTTTCCCACTTGGGGGAAAATCTGTGAAAATATTTTCCCACTTGTGTGAAAAGGTGTGAAAATATTTCCCCACTTTTGGCACACTTTTTCGCAATTTGTGAAATGAAAAAGAATTCCCTGGGAAGAGAAAAAATGTGAAATAATTTTCCCATTTTGGGGTTAACTTTCAATTGTAATGTACTGTATGTCAGAAGCTAGCTAGGTTGCATTTGCATGTAACGGCCGCCTTAAAAAATGGGGCAGTGGCTCATGTTCATTGAGGAGGGTGCCCGAAGTACTCTGACAATGTATGTATAATTGAAGACAGACAGGACGAGAATTTCATAATTTACAATGCAAGGTCATATTTATGACAAAGAATTTCTTTTTTTTTGAAATTCATTTATTTTCCATAACTGATAAAGGAAGGAATTTGTAAAGTTCCAAGGGCCCTGTTATAACAGTGTTCCACTGTGTTCAACAGAGTAGTTGTCTCCAAGACATTCTGCTTGAAGGCCCTAGATAAAGGGAAGGTGACAAGGAGACGTTGTCCAGGGCTGCTCCGGCCTTACAAGGGGGAGCGGTTGCTAAGGCAAAGAGCCTACTTCATGAATGGGAGCCCGGTAGCAAGAGTATCTCAAGATGTGGGGTGGTCGCTTGACTGGCACGGGCGTAGTTGGTATCTTCCTTTGGAAGGGAGGCTCACGGAGGATCCGGAAACTGGAATATGTCACAGGTGGTGAGGACGCCAATAAAACCAGTGACATCTTCAACCAAAGACACGGTGACTTTGCTTCGACTGAAGTAAGGTTGTGCTATATTCAAGAGCCGAGGGTGCCCGTAGATTAGTAGGGTAGCTGAGCGGCTGGAGTGGACTTGGACACATGCCAAGTTCTGGCTAGAGACTAGAATATCTCCATGCATGAACGATCAACCAGAAGTTTTGGAAAAATTGGCCCGGAAGATTCCAGTCATGCTAAGTCATTTAAACGAGTCATGGTTGATGTCCAGCGAAGTGGCTAACGGCAGACCAAGCACTTGAGTCATGTCTCACTGAAGAAGACAGAGGCAGCAATCAGACAGAGTGAGGGCACCTATGGAATCAACTTCGTTCTTTTTGGAAGACAATGCTGGTTGCCCGGTTGGGGACAGGGCGGTGCCTCATTCAGAGCCATGTGCAGCCCCGTGGGGAGTGGCCTCCTCCCGAGGGAGTACACCTGGCAGGTGCGATTCAGAGCAGCTGGAGAGGGCGGAGGGGCCTACAGTCCACCAGAAACGAGTCTGGGGCAGTGGAGGTTGATGGCGGTCAACACCAAGGCGGCGAGCAATGGAGGTCGGAACTTCATTGATGGACTGGAAGGCCGACATTCAAGCCGCAGAGGTATGTTCGTGGTAGTCGAGGAATTTGATGAAGATGAGAAGCGCTTGCCTTTTCCGGTGGCGGGCGACCCGATGGCAGAAGTAGCAGATGGGGTCACGGAAGGCGAAACGCCTATGGTGCATTCCCGGTCGAGGTCAATGGGAACTGCACAATTCTGGGCAGAGGGACAAGGAGAAATGAGGTCCAATGACCCGGTGATGCCAATTAAAAGCCCGAGCTGCGATGTGCTTAAAGCACATAGTGGTGGGCAGCCCGGCGGCGGAGGTGGCAGCCAGGGCCGCAGAATGCCCGAGGAGCAGTCCCAGTCGAGGTCAATGGGGGCTGCAAAATAAGCCTTTTGCAAGTTAATTTGAATAAAATCTGGTACACAAAGAACATAACAATTGGAATTCCCCATACCAAAGTCACTGTTGCTATACCTCATGATTTGGGGCAAGCTTTTCCTTAGTTACATAAGAGACACCTCACAACAATACACTGTTCTCAATGTAAAAGAAGGGCACAAAGGAACCAGTCCATTCCAGGCATGGTGGTCGCTAAGTAAAAGCTAGCCCCGAATCACGAGGTATAGCAGCAGTGTATTTAGTCTGGGGAGTTCAAATTCAGTGTCCAGATTTTATTCAAATTTAACTCGCAAATGGCTTATTCTGGGCAGAGAGACTAGGAGAAATGAGGTCCAATGACCCGGTGAAATCCAGTTGAAAGCTGGAGCCACGGATGGGTGGCTTGAAGACCCAGAGACGTAAAAACCATGTTAAGCTCAGCAGGACCCGAAAGAGGGTTAGAGGGAGTCAGGTGTCATGGCTCGACGGTGCACTAGGTGGGGCGGGCCACGGCACTTGCGGGGAGCCCAGCCCAGTGACTTCAGTACGTGGGGAAAAGGGAGATGCCTGGGGGGCCGCCGGAGCAGTGTTCTAGGCCAATGTCAAACAGCAGGTGGAACTCTTCGGTGTTGCTGGGGAACACTAGCTTTAGTTTTACTTGTATTTAAGGACAAGAAGTGATCACCGCAAGAACTGACAAACTCGTTCACCTGAGCAATATAGTCCTCAGGATCGCTGTACAAAAAGCCTGTGATCACAGCATCATCTGCAGCCCTGGTATTATTTTGTGAGAGGTAATGTTCAAGTTTGCGTTTAAAAGCTAGTTTGCTTGACTTAATCTACTTGTTGATTTGTTTTTGCATTTCCTTCAGCTTCTCTCGGTCTCATATAAGATATGCTTCCTTGTTCCTCATTGAACTTGTGACCCAAGGTTTGCCGTTAGCATAAATTAGTTGTTCCTTGATGGGAATTATCATCTCCACACAGTAACAAATGTAGTCAGTGACGGTGTCCAGAACTCCATTCACAGTGTTGTGACCCTCAAAGAATAGATCCCAGTCCGTTGAATCGAAGCAGGCACAAAGCTCTTCAGCTGCCTCATCGGTCCAGCATTGACATGCCTTTGTAATTGGCTTACATATTTTGAGATTCTGTATATAGGCAGGCATTAACAGGACATTGTTGTGATTCAATGCACCGAGTTGCGGACAGCTTTTGAAGGCAGTCCAGCGTCACATCGTTACGAGTCGATTGCATAATATATTCACAGGCGTTTAGGCTGTAATGATGGGATGTTGGCGCATGGCATCATTCATTTTTCCATGAGTTGAGTGGAATGGACCGTGGAGGAAACAACTTTTTTCAACCTCAGCATCTTCCTCCTTTCTCCTAGTTTAACCTCGTGAAGGGAATTGAAGGAAAGAATTTGGAAGCCTCTGTAAGAAAATAGTAACCCTTCGTACAAGGACCTTTTGTAAGTGTTTAGCCCAGTGTTTATCACACGAGTGATATTCGCATGCATCACCTTGTCATGTGATCATTCAGGCAATGAACAGACAGTATCCATGGGAGAGGTATGACAATTAACTGTGTTGCACGGTCTATGTCAAATTCCGCGTAATGTGCTGTTCTATTTCCACAAAATGCACTATTTTAAGCTAAAAGCAAAACACACAACTGCAAAATTTACTGTAAATTAAAACGTGGCATATTTGCATGCATGGGCCCCTGTAACATCTTTGCTGTGAGTCAAGTTTGCTTGAAGATAAATTCATTATCATGCTCACTCTCGTGGAACACAGAATCACAAGGCTGAAGTTATACATGTACACGTACCACCTTTGCTGCACACAGTTGTCAAGTCTCTCCAAGTACAACCACTACATGGTTGCATGGGCCAATGACTGAGTGGTATACGGGACACAGATGCACTAAATTATTTTGTGTTCCATAAGCCCAAGCATGATAACTATTAACGTAGGGGCCTATATAGTGACTAGTTTAGGATAAGTGGGAAATTCTTTGAGTGCAGTATACATGTACGTGTATACAACAAAATGTATCCAATGAAAGGCTTAAAGTCAATTAGGGCCACTGGCTCAAAGTTGTTATATACAAGTCTCTCAGAGTACAACCACAACATGGTTGCATAGGCTCCCCTCTTTTTGGATGGCAATTTTATGATGTTCACTTCCAGACCAGGCCTACATGTACATAAAGTATATGTAAGAAATGAAATCTAATTTTTAAGGTTGGTAACTCTGTTATTGCCATGAGCAAATCATTTGGTAATAGCCAGCATTACCAATTCTGTCTGGTTCAGGATTGGTATGTTGTCAATGCATAACATTGCACCAGTCCAGTCTGTTAGTACTGATACTCAGGACAGGTCAAGTTGGCAGACAAGCTGCTGGGTAGCAAAAATCTTCCCCTGCAGGTCAGTTCTTGAAATCCTTACCTTTTGCTTTGAACAAGTATGATGAAGCCAGTTATCACGTAAAAGGACAACAGCACAGCCACAGTGGTCACAATGGGTTTCCAGTATTCAGATACTGCAACAGTAAATAGGCAGTCATACCATCTTAGATATTTGGTAACAATTAATGCAATTTACATTGGAATTAAAAGCACAGTAACCAACCGTTGGTTTGTTTTTCTTCAATATGCGCCCCCTTGATTAGCTTTAATAAATTCATTCTGGGAAATTCTTGCTCATTTTCTTGAACTCTTGGAGATTATTAAGTGGATACATTACTGTGTATCCCTTAATTATATTTGAGAATTACATAAGGTACATGTATATGTTATTCAATATGATTGTCATAAAATACAAAAATACTCCATCCATTTGAATTCAGTGGAACATCAAATTGAAGTGCAGTTTGAGCTTTGTTTAGATTGCAGTTACATCTAGTTCTAAGTGATCAGTTATAGAGCATCATAACTCCATCTGAATTAAAAAAAAAACAATACACATTTACGGTGTATGTGGGGCAACCATTCTGACAAGACAGAGCTGATGGAGCAACCAAATGACAGCAAATAATAATAATGAATTATATGTAAAGGAGACGTTGATGCATGCTTAACACAAATAAAATAAAAAAGTGAATGATGTGAGAAAACCCAGAAGATCATTTAAGTTTAGCAGCACACTGTATATGTATTTGACAAGTATGAAGTAACACACGGGACAATTTGATGTAATAAGTGCCCTTCATTCATTTGAATGGTACACTTCCCCTGATGTACTCTATACACAGATTACATACATGTGCACTGGAGAAAACCTTTTACCTGTACCAAATTCCACGGCTTACCGATGACAAATGATTAACATATTAAGATATACTATACTTAACCCAAATATAGGTAAAACTGTGAAATATTTTTGTGCTTTATCATATTTCAATTGGAACAAAGAATAAAGAATCATAATACAATAAAACAGATATTTGTCACGTTGTGGATTTCCATGATTTTTCCAGATTTTTCACAGCAACAGGAGCCCTGCCATTGTGTACATGTACCAGCTGATAATGGTTCATTGTATTAACAAAATCAACACTAAATAAAACCAAAAACAGGATTTCTGCATCTGCAACAAAACATATAACTTTTCCACATTCCTGACACTTTGAGGAAACGTTCACTTGCTATGCATGTACAATCTAGAATAACAAAGTATGGAATTTGCACAAAGTGTAAAAGTCTAATGAAAATTCCCAGGATGACATCATCAGCAAGACATTACTACAGGGATTATGCTTAATGGAACTCTACTTTATACCTGAAGTTTGATGAGGGTTTAACTTAATGTAATGTGTAAATAAGCTTTTGTAGAAAATGCTGCAAATCAAAAATTGAAAGAACATTTGAGGGCGAAGTCATCCTGAAGCTACTTCACACATATATCACAATCAAAAGTTATAATGTAAGTTCTCCTGGCCAGTTTCTGAAAATGAGAAGTTTAATTTGTAAAAAAAAAAAAACAATTTGCAGCATATGTTTAAATGGCGTACAACCTCGATTTAATTTTGCAACCTTCAAATAAATGAACATGCATTAGTTTCATTTCAGAGATTACAAATGTGATTGGGACATTGGTCTGATGGATTCATTGCCAAATACATCAAACTGTGCAATACTATTGACTGAAATTCTGTCCTTTCGTGTGACCAGTTCAGTGATTCAGTTTCATTTGCTGCTGTCTGAATTAGCAAATTCTGCATCCAATTCAAATAGGATATACAGGGTTACACAAATCATGACAACTTTGATAATGAATGTACTGCCACTACACCAAGACTAGTGTGCTTGTACTCAAAGGCCTGTATGCAAATTAGGGCCTATAATTATGTGAGTGTAAGCCAATGAAAATCTAAGGTAAATATCAATCAAAACAATCTTGTCAGGATATTAGGAAAATGTAACTTGTCAAGGTTTTTGCAAAGGGATCAGGTACTATTTGGTTCTTTGTTGTCTATTTATATTTCTGAAAGTTCACTCTCATTTTATCATTTGTATCCATCAATGATCCGTCTACCAATGCAATAAGGGAAATTATCTGCTCACACTTGGTTGTACCAGGCTGTACATCTTGCAGGTGTCACCTCTCCAATGTTGAGTGCAGCCATCTTGAGGATCTCCACACTTGCATGTATCCACCAGCTTGGACTGTGACAGCCCTATATCCAAATCTGTCCTGCCATTTACATAGGCCCAATGTGCGCTTCACTCCCACCTTGAAAGCCGAGTGTGAAAGCCATTTCTGTCAGATTTAATTATGGCAAATATGGGGGGCAACAGCTTGATGGTAAACTTGTTAACATGAAGGGGTAGTTTGGCTGGAATGTGAGGCCGAGCATTATCATGTATCAGATATATTTGTCCACCAGAAGGAATAGGATATCACATTCTTTTACAGTTATCACTAGGAACCCCTCAAAAGTCTATTGTATTGTAAATCTCCGATGATTTTCTGTGAGCCCCAAGTCCAATTTTACCTGAAATGGCAAACATGATACTGTTCCTTTCTCTCTGGCCATGAACAGCATGTCTTGCTGGCTCTCCATTAGAAGCACAACGATGAGACTGATAGGCCACGTGTTTTATCTAGTGTCATCGAGAGTGTCTCTAAGGATACCAACCTGTAGAAACCAGTTTACAATCTATTTTGTGCATCTAATACACGTGGCAAAATTCTCTGGGAAAATCTGCCAGCTAATGATTTACAAGCACACCCATCTAGAGTTCTAGCTATGGCACTAGTGGTCACAAAGTGCTTATTGGGAGACCAGCTCATGGTTGATCACAATTTGTTGCGAAGTTAGGAGGTTTTATCTACATAATGTAGAAGAAAATCTCTCATGTCACTGTCAATCTTCTTTGGGGGGGGGTCCTCCTTCCAGGAGCTTGTTCTGATGACCATCTGAGAGGTATACACCGATGACTGATCTGGCTGTTGAGTGCTTGATACCCATGGTATCTCCTACCTGCAGATTCTGTGGGCAGCATTGTCAGCCCAAAAGGCATCAATGAGGACATTCTGCTCCAGGATTTTTCTGTATTTCCCTTGGTAGGCCATATTTAGAAGGCCTATGTGAACTTTTACTTCAGTGTATGATGTAGCCGTAGCAAAATTTGAGCACAAGAGGAAAGGTTTTCATCAGTGTCAGTGTTTATTTAGGATTTATACAATAGTTTGAATATTGCAAAAGACTACATACATGTACATCTGTTTAGTTCAATCATAAATATTCAAACATTTCACAATGCATTTCTACACATATAAATTCCATTAACACAAATAAATTTCAATCCTTGACAAGGTATGTCTTTAAAACACTTCATGTAAAATCATATGCATATTTAGAAAAATAGACTGATTACAATTTGAAACGAATACTGGATTGCAGAAGTGAAAGAGGGATTTTGAATGTTCATTCTATTTTGCTCATGAACAAAAGGCTGGTATTATCAATTCATGAAGCCAGGAAAACCTATAATAACACAAAAAGCTTATGTAGCACTTTACACAAAAGCCCCTCAGCACTCTACAATAAAAATAAAAATAACAGCTTTAAAAGAATGGCTAAAATACCTTACAGGTCTGGGCAGTAACCCTGAGTGAAGAAGAAATCCCAAAAAAGTAGTAAATAAAATAGGAAATAAAAGTCAACAGGACCTGAGCAGACATAGAGCAATAAAGTCAATTAAGGTAACTTTAAAGGCTTGGACACACAACTGCCATAACTGTGCATGATGAGAACAAGTCGATCATATTGCAATAAAATGAATGTTAATATTAATATAATCCACCAGTACGGTACAAAACAGATAAAAATGGAGCAGTAGAGCAAACTTTGTATAAAAACGTGAAGAATGTAAACCTTAATACAGTATGGAATGAATACAACAAAGCATATGAGCACAACATATCACTTAAAAAGATAAGTCAAAGAATGTTGAGAAAATCAGAAGTATGAATAGGGTCTATTTGGTTGTTCCAGAGACTTGGTGCTGTATGTTTCCATGCTCACTGACCATAAAACTTGGTAGATGCATGAGCACAACATATTGTCTTCTTTGGCCAATGCCACAAGTGTAGTGAAGGAATGAATGATAGAAGCTGTTGACCTGGTCAGTCATGCAAAGGTTGTGGTTATCAATAATACCCAGCTCCTTGCCATCCTGTTGACCTCCACGTACAACAAGTGAAGGAGAGCTACATGTATGATGTGGAAGGCTCTACATGTACATGTAATACTAAGTGAATATCAGGTCAATCAGACACTGTCTAATATGTAAATCTATGGTCATACTTTCTAACGACACCACAGGAAATCATAAAATTTCCCAAACAATCAGCACATCTAGTTTTCCTATAAACAGTCTTGAAAAGGGAAGTCTGAAAATACCTGTTTTGTTCTGAAGAAACATCAGACATCACCCAGATTTTCACTTACAACACATGTTGGCTTTGTCTGAGCCAAATTCCAACCCAAACGGACATATGGTTCTCGAGATATTGGCCCATCAAGAAATCAACTTTATAAAAGTCATCACAAATTTTTGCACTCTGTGTGGTCTTTCCCCATAATATACTGATAACATTTAGGTGTTGGCCCAATGCCTCCCTTTCGACAACCCCTTAGATCATTACAAAACAACACTCATTATCTTCATATACTTACATGGTAAAATCGTTTCTACAGTTATTGTTATCTCTTTGCTCCGATTTTTGTCACTGTGTAACACAAACTGGGAGGTCACTGCAATAGAACAAAAAGTATATGATTTCTTTATCAATAACAAAACCCTATGTTTTCAGAGTTGTTTGTAACTCACAGGCAGCAAATTTGAAAATTGCTGCTCCAGTTTGTACAAGAATCATTCAATTAATTTATCATTAATCAAAATTCAATGCACTTCAGTTCTCTTGAATACAGAGATTGATTCAGGGGTGGGGTGGGAAACACTCAACTGGCACAAAACTACATTTGTTTTGATATTTTTTGAAGTATCATTTGTACACAAAGCCGTTTAATGCTTTAAATATCAAACAACAGAACATGAAAAACGCAAGATCAGATTCTTCTATGGGCTGGTGGGATATAATAGGTTTCATGGTGAAAAAGGTGGTAAAAGTGACCTTGTAGTTACATGTACATCATCTAACAAATTATATTTTGGGCCCTACTGAAATTGTCCAATTCTTTTACCTATTGAGACCAATTCACTTACCCATTGGATCCAATTCACATCTTAATTGGATCCAATTCACTTACCAACTCAATAACCAATTCCAAAACCAATTGCTTTTGCTTGGAATCAATTGGAATCCAATTGGGTTCAATTGGTTTGAATAGTAAATTTGGCCCTCTTCTCTGTTGGACCATTTCAAATCAATTGACACCATGTGAATGCCAATTCAAACCAATTGAGTCCCATTAGAAAAATCCATTTGATGGAGGAACCAAGCTGAAAGCAAACCAAATGGAACTAGTTGCGTCCAACTTGAAATTTCCAATTGACCGAGAAAAACAGACAGAGAGAAAGCATACCGTTTGATTCCCATTTGAAAACAAATCCAATTGAAACCAACTGCATCCCATTTCAATCTTCAATTGACGAGAGAAAATGAATGGGAGAGAAAACACACCACCTGAAACCAAATGAACACCACTTCATTGCCAACTGGACCCACTACATTCCAATTAAATCCAATTAAAAAATCAACTGGTTTGAATAGGCCATTTTAGTAGGGGGGCATGCTCTGCTTTGGCAACCTACCGGTAGTCCATTGCTCCTTACCATCACAATGACAGGCTGGGAGGTTCATCATTTTGAGGAGTATGCCCGGCTCTATCTAGGTTCCTATATGTACATGTAGGCTCTGAGAGGCTGCTCCATTGCTTATTTCTGGTACAAATTTCTGACAATGCCTTTCCTAGTTTCACAGCCTTGACCTCCAGCTTGGTTTTAGTGTGGGATCTTTCATGCATTGTTCCTCCATGTTCCAGTTCTCTCATTACAAACAGCAACTGCTGGAATTCTTAAGTCAATCACAGAGTTTGTGTCATCTCTGAGCACTTCACAGCATCTATTTGGTGCACTACTATCTCACAACTAGTAGGTCATGTGAGAGTATGGGTTAGTGCATTCGGTTTAAAAATGGCATACCGAGTACATCATCAAATACATCTAGGTACTCATATTTATAGAAATATGAGTGCTCTTACAGAAACTTGCTCTCCACATATTCTTGTAAAGCAATTGTAAGCATAAAGTTTTTCAAATTTTCGAAGAGAGTAATGAATTGACACTTAATTTACATAAACACTTAAATTTTTTTTAAATAGAACTTTGATTACATCTTACTGTTTTGTATAGGCACCAAGTGTACAGCTTTTCCGAGACAGTCTTTATCTGTTGGCTGCACCACTACAACCACAAAGAAATAACCACCTGGATAATTTGTTTTCTGTGAAAAGAGAGAGAAAAAAAGAAACGTCCATGAATAAATCCATGATGTTAATTTGAGATCATAAAAATCCTTCCCCACATTAGTGTGGGTTGGGTCTCCTAGTGTGATACTTACCCCTGCCCAGCCAACATATGCAAATTTCACATGTGCCCGTTACAATTCACTGAAAAGACTTGATTATGCATGGTGCCCCTTGACCTTCTACAATGTAGTACGATCCCGCCGCCATGTTCATCCTTCTTTTCGAAGCAGAGAAAACCCCTGGAGCCAAAGTGGGGAAGGACGGGTGGGAGCGGTTGGGCAGGGGTAAGTATCACTGGGAGACCCGACCCACACTAATGTGGGGGAGGAGTCTCCTGCGTTCACATACCCCTGCCCAGCCTACATATGCAGAGTGGCACCGTACCCTGGAGGTGGGTTGGTGACGGGAGCTAGTGTAGTTACTAAAAGCGAACACTCACCAGAAGAAAGAAATGTCTACGATGAAGTATTCACCGTCTGGCCCGAGACAGTGCTAGGCACTGTCTGGACTGCCGAGTGCAAGGTTGCTCAGCCAAGGGCTGCTGCGCTCTGCAGAACATCCTTCAGATAGCACTCGGTGAAGGTGGAGGGGGATTTCTGCTAGAGGAACTCCTCTGAAGTATGACCAGGATGCAGAAGTGGTCCGAACATTGAGGGCCATGGTGCAAGATCGGGCCATCTCGTCATGTTATGCTGGCCAGTCTCGGTTCGCGAAGATGATGGCCGATACCATCCACTGGGTAATAGTGTCCTTTGACGCAGAACGGAAGGGATTTGTCGTAGTGATGAAGAGCTGAGAGCTAGACTCTCGGCAACGCTTGGTCCTGGCAAGGTACCACTTAAGAGTGCAAACTGGACACCATTTCTTGTCAGAGTCACCTCCCGAAAGTGAGGCTATGTCGGGAACAAATATGTCAAGAGGCTGGAAGGTAAGCGACTGGTTTTTCGTCAAAAACTTGATGGCTGGGATAAGGTGAACCCCATGCAGCTCCCAGAAGATGTGACCTTCGGCCATCGATAGAGAATGCAGTTCGCTACTGTGTCTTCCATGTCTTGATGTAACGACCCAAGGAGGAACACCAGTTTGATGCTGAGATGGAGATAAGATGCAGCAGAAAGCAGCTCAGAGGGAGGACTGGCAAGAACACGTAAGACGCTTCCAAGGTCCCAGGATAGAGCAAGGCATTTGACATGAGGACGCTCGACAAACATTCCTCGACGAAGATGGTGGATAGAAGCATTATCAGAGACCATCGATCCATCGCTGAAGCCCAAACAAACGGCTGTTAAGGCCAACCAGTAGTTGCAGATGGTGGCAATCTGGAGGCCCAAGTGGAACAGATACATAAGAAAGTCTGTGACAGAACTCACAGGAGCTTCGGTTGAAGAAACATCGTGGTCGATGAACCATCTGGTAAAATGTTGCAGTTGGCTGATGTAAATTATGCGAGTGGACAGTCATCAACCCCAGGCCGTCATGGATGCAGCGTCCACAGAAGGGCCCAACATTCTGAGTGATCATTGGACAAAATCTAGCACGTGAAGTGAAGATCTCCCGGTGGTGGATGGAAGTCCCCCAACTTGGGTTGACGAAGAATGTCCTCCCTGGGTGGAAGGACCAATAGCCATCACACCAGAAGTATTGTTAGTCTCGGAAAGCATGGTTGGCGAGGCCAGAACCGGGCGATGAGGAGGACCCAACATGGCACCTGTTCTATCTTGGACAGGTCGCACGGGATATTGAAGGAAAGGCATATGCCAGAAGGCCCGACCAGTTGAACTGTAGGGTGCCTCTGTCGCCCATGCCTGTGGGTGAGGGAACCTGGAGCAGAACTTCGGAAGATAGGTTTTGTTGGTGGAAGCGACAAGGTCAATATGGGGATCGATATTCGTAAAGATATGGCTGACCACGTTTGGGCGAAGAATCCACCCTGTTGGTTGGACGGCACCCTGAGAGAGTGTCACTGCTATGCTGTATGTGGACGGCTCGGAGGGTGATCTCTTCTTCATTCGTCCACATGAAGAGGTGCCACGCAAGGGTGCAGTGTTCAGTGGAGCGAGTGCCGTCCTGGCGGTTGATGTACGTCCTTGCCGTGGAGTGTCGCTCTGGACTCGAACAGAACGACCCACTAGGTGTTGTCAAAAGTGGTGAAGAGCGTTAAACACCACTTGGAGCTCTAATTTGTTGCTGTGTTTGTCTTGAGAGGCGGTGCCTCAGATCCCGGAGGCATGGAATGGAAGAGCCCACATGTATGTATTCATAATAAGTGAGCCCTGTTACATTGAACCATGGAGGAAGGACACAGAAGGAGTTTGAACTACCCGGGCTATAACATCTGGCCAATTACCGCTTTCTGGCATGCCTGGTATGTCCATAGCCAGAGCACAGTGAATGCTTGCTTCGGACCATCTGTTTCACAACCACAAAACCCCTTTGTACCCTATGATCTTACCGCAATTTATCGATGGTAATCTGCATCCTTAAAACTTTGTGTACTGAGGTATAGGAAATTGAATATTCATGCCTTTGTTGGTGCTAGGTATGATCTCATGACAACATCAAATTTAATGCTTGCACAGTTGTTTGCATTACACTGTGTGCTCTAAATATATATGTACAGTCATTGCACTTGATGAGCTCTTTCTTCTGGAGTTATTTTGGGAATAAATAGCTCAGTTGTTCACAAGATTTTGTTTGAATCGTTTTGTTTAAATCATTTTCATTATGGTATTTGTACAAAGCATATTTTATGAGATTTCACGATCACTCCCTGTGCTGAAATAGTGCATTTTGTTCCAAATGAACTAAGCTTTCCAGTAGTAGTGAACATTTTGTTGGCCAGTCTTAGCCAAATTCGTACCAAGTCTTTGAACACTGATGTATTGGACGGAGAATAAAATTACAAACTTTGCAAGGATAATGGCACAGTGTATCAAAATTTACACAGTTTATTTATGATGGAAAAAGTAGGTCTAATATCAGGAATTTTTCCTCTCTCTATTTCCTGGTCATATTGACAATTTGTATTTAATTGCAAGCAAAAAACTACAAGTATTGCTAGGATATTACTGGCCCCGCTTGTCCGGCTAAGACACAGGCAAAAACCGGGCATTTTTGGAATGTCTTCTATTATTCGTCTGACTCGGTGGCAACCATCATTGGACCCTTTGAAGTGCCCAAAGTTCCAACTCCTTTCGTGTCCTTCCTCTTACGATTGTACTCTGTTTGATGTGCCCTCTGTTTGATGTGGCCATTTGTATCCTGAAGTTGGAGGACTACGGCCATATCATTACATGCAAAGGGAATTAAGATCATTCCGTATGCATTATAAAAATACAAAAATTGCAGGAAAGGGAGCATCCAAAGATTGAAGACCACTCCATAACCAAGTACTTTCGAAATACATCGAAGTGCTAACACACTTCCATTTATTCGCTGGCATAGAGATAACGCGTGGATAAAATAGTAAAACCAACAAATACATGCCAAGACTGCCTTTTCGTTTCAATTAAGCTAGGTGCAGTCAGAAAACGCCATCATGGCCAACCATTAAAAAAAGTGAGTGCGGACAGCAGACAGACTTTGTCAGACCTCACAACAGTCACAGTATGTAATCTTTGGCCCGCCCACTCCACAAAAACTCACATCCAGATGGCAATGTGGGCGTGGCCAGATCAAGTGGGAGAATATACGAAAAGTCGGCAAATTAGGGCGGTCGAAGCATGGGTACTGGATTGAAAGGTGTGAACATCGGTCAGAGCGAGAGAGGGGCCCATCCAGACATTGCGGTTGACTGTTACACGCCTGAGTGCCTCCGATGATGAAGTTTCAGACATCAGAGGGTTCGATGAGTCTGCAGGTAGGGCAATGACATCTACCGTAGGCATTAATGAACATAAAACCTGTGGATGGAACAGACACGGTAGGCTGTCCGGATGGGGCATCATCGTCCGAAGCAATAGGAAGCTGAGCACCATGCTGAATCGCCGACTCACCCATGGCAGAAGCGGCAGAGTGTGGCAAACCCGCTGTGGAACCAATTGCCGGCTGGACCATCGGTCAACAGGTTCGTCCGGGATGCGGTAGGCAGCAATGCCTGGAATTTGCAGCATGTAAGAAAGAAGAACAGGTCATTACTTCCTGACAATCATGATCACAGGTATCCGCAAATTGGATAATGCAAAACTGCACCGCAGAGGAGCGGGGTAGCCCACCAAGCCCTGCTCCGCAACCAAACCCATGTAGTGTTGGGCCGCACGCACCACATAGAGAACAAAGGGTTGCCAGCCCTGTGTAATGGCCACTCCACACAACGCATCACAGTACGTCAGACCCAAACCTGTATATGATGCACAGAAAAAAGGGGCAGAAAAGAACCACAAAAACACAGCATGCAAAGAACAAAATATGAGAATAAGCACTCTTACCAACAGATAAGGAATCACTCTTTATTTCATAACAGGAATAAAGTCAATTCACAAACGCGAAAGGTATGGAACTCAAAACTCCAAAAATGCCATAAAAGACATGTCTGTAAATGATAGATGCTGAGAAAAGAGGGACTAACATAGCAGCGGGATCGCAGTGCATTGTGGAGGGTCAAGGGGCAGCATGCATAATCAAGTCTTTTCAGCGAATTGTAATAGGCACATGGAGAATTTCCATATGTAGGCTGGGCAGGGGTATATGAATGCAGGAGACTATCTGCTTTAGGAAGCAGATAGTTTTAACCACAATGACATCAACCTGTGACCTTTTGGGTTCAACAGGCATCTGGGTATCATCTAAATCAAGCCACACACCAATTTCAGAGTATGCCAAGTAAATCTTCACTTTAGATGGTGAACCTACCATACATAGGTATTCCTTTTTTTTCTAAAGTCAATAAAACTGCAGGCAAATTTGATTCTATCCACTGTGAACATTCCTTCAAGCTACAGATTTGACAATCTCCTTGTTTATTTCTCTTCATTTTATGACAGAAAACCATGACCCGCAAACCCCTCTTCAAAGCATACATGTATCTTAGATGAGAAGGGTATTATGTGGATGTGTGCGAGTCTAAATGATGTCTTGAAACTCTACATTATATGGACCTTTTTTGTTTTCGGGTAAAACAATCTCAACCACTCACACAGTGGCATGTAATTGTGAGGACTACAAACATGTGGAACAATAGTTATTGGGGGACGCTTTTTTCTCAACAACTTGAATAGGTCCAAAATTTCTTTACAAACACAAGGCTGACAAGGGCATGCTCATACACACATACATGTATATCATATTTTTAAATATCATATTGAAAAGTACTTGACAGATAATTTTACTACTAAATGTATTTTTACACAGTAAATTGGTTACTATCGAATACATATGGTTCAACTTAAGTCAATTGTTAAATTTAAAATGTGTACAATTTTTCTAGCAGTCTACCCAGCTAAGTTACATTATGTACAAGCCAACACCCTGGCCATTAGGGTCTCACCTACTTTGAGGTCATTGACAGAGATGCAAACTTGTACAATTTAGGCATAATTTTTACAATTTGTTTTGTCCGTTTATGACTATACAATCAAGGTTTTCCAATTCCAAGGTGCAAAACCTTAAGTTGTGTATATATGTGCCTGGACCTGGCCTCTCAATGTGCACATCAGAAATGTGTCTCTGGCATTCCACGGTTTGTGTGTCCAAGGTGCATGAGTAGCATAACAAACTCGTTGAAGCACATGCTCACCCTGATTGACTTGGTGATGAACTTTGGAAATAGGTACGATTGCACTTTTTATGCACTGTACATGAATATAGATAGCATTAAACACGTTGAGGAGTCCTGAATGTCATGGTCATGCTAAGTTGATTAGGGGAAGACAATCAAGGATTTGATTCTGGGATTTTAGGTGAACAACTGGACTTTGTTTTGCACAATGGAAACAAGTCAACAGAAGATCTCAAGATGAGATCTCAATAATGAAATCTTGCAACATCTCATGGAGAAGCTTAGGCTGCATCTGAATCTGTTGTCTAGAGCTAGGTCTCGGTTTTCACTCCATTGGAAATGTGTGGAGACGTGCAGACACTAGACCTAGTCGTAGCTCTGGAAGCCCCTTTCGGACACGGCCTTAGCCTATGTGTTTTGGAGCACATGTACATGTAATTGTGATATGATAATCGTGAATATTGACCATGTCAAATCTTACAACATTGAGAAAAACATGAAAAACGGAAAAACATGTAACTTAAGTTTGGCAAAAAAACCTCTGCATGTATTATACATGCCTCTCAAAAATAAAGTTGATAGGTCGGGACATTTTTTAGGAGGTCAAATTTTATTGAGATGACTGAATGGGGGCAAAAGCTACCAAACATTGCTACAAAAGTGAAAAAAAATTGTTTGCAACATCTGTAAACAATTCACACCATTATGCACAACACCAGTCAGATTATCACAACGGGGAAACTGGCAAACAGTGTCCATATATAGTGTGTTCAGCGTGTATGATGCAACTCAATCAGGGGCAGGCAATACATCTTGTGGTGCTGCAGGAAATTTTGTGGACATGTTTGCTTCAAGTATGAGCAATACAACCTCAAATTAAATTAAATTCATGAGCACAGAAAATACATACGTAGACAAGATATCAAGTTCTATGAATTTACTCGGAGAAATCTTCTTGTAACATCAATTTTTTTTGCCATGTATTGAATAGACTGGTTGGTGCACCTCCACCATGCCTTCTTTGGCAATGATGTGACAGGAACCACTGCAGCATTGCTTCATTGCATTGAGCACTGCATAAGTGGTTTTCACCACTGCCATAGCAAAACGTGGAGGGAACTTGTGGTAAAAATGGAAGTTTCATTTTAAAAGTTGTGAATGTTGGAAGCAGGAAAACATTTAAATACAAGCCTATCAACGTCAAATTAAGTTGTTGAGAGGTGTTCTGTGAAAACAAGAAAGCAAGATATATTGTAATATTGTTGATTTGTTTTGTTGGGTTTTTTTCTAACTTGCTGATAACAATTTAAAGGTTTTGCCAAAAAATTAGGGTCAGTTGGGAAACCGGAAGCAGAACTATTTTGGGGGCCTTAACTATAATGACTTTTATAATAAACTTCAACTCATAGGGTTTGAATGCATTTCTTTTGAAATGTTCATTTGTAATAGGTAATTCGGAATCAGGCGATGGGATTACATTTTTCCATTTGAAAGTTGGCATCTCTGCATTGGTATTGCTGCTTGCTTATAGCAAGTCACAGCTGATGAACCATACAATGGGTTTTTTAATCTTCACCACACAATAGCATTAAGTGATTGATTGGCAAAGACTAGCATTGCTTCCATTGAGTGGACTGGTGCAAGTGAGTGGTCATATCAAATTAACTGGAGATTTTCTGCTAATTGTTAAATGACACAAACTCTATTGGGATTAATTATTAAATGGATTGAAGTAGTCTCCATGCAGGCATTTAAAATGTACATGTAATCATCATTTTAATCCCTGGTTTTTCCATGCATTGTGACTGTACAAACACTGACAATGCCCGTTGCAATTTGATGATGCCCACTGAGCGAAATCTGGCTGACACTTGGATATGAGACAGTTTAATCCATTTCTATTGATTTATATAACAGGTTTTGCACTTACCCAACGTATATATCAATAAACACTGTATGCTCAGTGCTTGTCTGAGAGCTTGCGAAAAAAGTCACAAGCTTACTCGGGTGGGACTCGAACCCACAACCTCCTGCTTACTAGTATAGACGTCTTAACCACTCAACCACCGAGCTTGCAAGGGTCGGCTGGCCGGTCCGAGTCAGGTGAAGCAGCGGGTTCTTATTTCCCATTCCTATTGGTCAAGAGTCTGTGAGTGTGCAGCATTTGCCATGTGGGCACTAGGTCAGTGTAAGAAGAATCTTTTAGACTATTTGCATGCCTTTGAGCCAGTCTTAAACACACATGAAAGACTGGCCAAGTACAAAATTATTCCCTTAAACTTACTTGCACTGTGATGGCTCCTTGCTTTGTAACAGTTTGAAACTGACCAAGAAACTCAACATTGCGATGCTGGTCATACACAGGGCACTGAAAAGGTCAAGAAATAAAGTACAGAAATATTAAAAACAAATGCACCCTCAATACTTCCAAAATCTGAGGGCAAGTGCTATAGTGGGACTTGAGAAACTCAAGTCTGGACTGAGTCCATTATTTCCCAAACTCAAACTCAGTTTGGGTGACTCTGATTCGGATATTTGGGCCTAAAGACTCAAAACATCAGCCCAAGTCCAGCATTAGTCCAGCCTAAAAATTTGTGCTTGTATTATACCTAACCTAAATACCTAAATGAGAAAATTGAAACAACACCTTCATACTAGTACCATTTTCAGCTTACAAGGAGTCCTTTCCCATAAAACGTTTTTGTGGAAAAAGTATACCTTATGTATGTTCCAGTGCACATTTGGGTTGTTGCATATTTCAATTTTAATGTGGATAAACTACTCCAATAGCTGTGTAATTCATTAAGTTTGTTAGCAAAGGAAAAACTCCCAAAAATTCAGCACTGGAACAACATGTTATGGAAAAAAGAGGACTAATAGGCCGACGCCTTCGAGGGAGCGAGTGAGAGAGGATGCACTATTAGTGATCAAGATTTTAGCAACTGGAAGTAATGGACCAGGAAATAATACTTATGTATTGGTAATCTGCGTAGGTTGCAGGCAGTAGACTGAACCTTTTAAATTTTGGAGAGGCAAAATGTTCCAATTTTAATTTTTGTTTCCAACTGATATCTAACTTTTCAAGTGTTTGCACATTTTCAATAGCAAATTCCTGTCTGTGAGCACTAATGTGCAATGTATTAATTGGAAAGTTTGAATGCACAAGTATTAAACTTGCATTATCAGTCAGTAATGGGAGACTTTTGACTTTCTGCTGTTCAACATACGAGGCCGCCCTTCAAGGGTCCTGGAAGAAAATCAGCATTTGTACATACATGGCAATTTGCATGTAAATGCAGAGTTGCAGTCAAGGAGTATTTTAAAAATTATGCCCTGTACATGTTATGCTGTGCCCGGCTGTGGTCAGAGGGGTGGACATAGATTCCCTAAAGACAAAATTTGTGGCCATTGACAATAAGACGGACAAACTAAATGTTCAAGGACGTTAAAAAGTGGTGGCCGTCATCAAGCTCTGTAGTCTGCAAGGGGCATTTTCTTCCATCGGATTATGAACAATACACATATAAATAGTAACGTCAGGTGTCTTTTGTACAATTACAAACAGTAACATTGAAAATAACCAGACATAATAATGGCAAGATTTCTCTTTTGTGTACAGGGAAAGATCTGTCTTATTGCTCTTTGTATGAAAAGTGTGGAACTTGTTCACTGGATACCTTGTGTACAAACCCTATGAGACTGGTCTGATAAATTTTAAGTACTTTCTCACTGCTTTGATGACATGATTGCTATCTGGGGCTTGTGTCACCGAACTGAAAAAAGATCCCCCCTCATAATTTTGTAGTTTCGCCCGTTACCCTTTTGGTTTTAAATATTTTCTCTTATTATTACAATCCATCAGCCAATCTGAATAGGCGACCTAAACGGGACCCTCATCGGCGTTATTCCAATGCTGACCAGAGACGAAGAAAGACTTGTTATTTATTTCCTCTCCATTTCCCGTTTTCCAGGTCAATTTGTTATTCTTTTATTTTCAATATTTTCTTGGTTTTGAAGTGATTTTTCTTAATTTTGGTGTAAATTTCCAAGATGGCAGCCGTAAGATACGGTCTGGCAGGAAATTGCCAAAAGCCGTCATTTTGCACCTCATTCTACTTCAAGTATTTGTTTACTAGTATGTCCTTTATGTAGTTAAGACATAAATTATTTACCGGTATGCTGTAATTCATTTGTTTTATTCATTTAGATTCAGTTTGTAAATACTAACAGTTATTCCAATGCTGACCAGAGACGAGGAAAGACTTGTTATTTATTTCCTTTCCCGTTTTTCAGAAATAAACCGACATCAAGAAATCTTAGCCGACGTGTCCTCTCCCATTTTATTGACTTGTAACAATCGGGGTCACATAAGTCACTACATAGGAAAATTAGAGAACTTTATTATGGAACTCTTTCTGTTTACAATATTTTGAGTTGACAATGCATCAATAATGTAAGCCTGTATTCATAAGTTGGGCCTACATGTACAGTTGCAGTAATGAAGATGTATTGCCTATTAGTGTATGGTCAGGATGAGCATCAAAGAAAGTTTTAGTTGTTGGAAAGAAGGAAGTAACCACTGCCGTCACATTGGCACAGTGGTTCTTTCCTCACCTTCCTGCCTCTGAGACCCTGGTTCATGCACTGCATTTAGTCCCAGTAACGTCAGACGCTTTACTGACTTTTCAACATTTGGTCATGGACTTGTCACTCAAATATCAGTATTAATACCAAGTCCATACCGAATATTGAAAAGTCAGTAAAGAGTCTGATGTACATGTACACATGTTGCCCAAGTAATACTGACAAGTCTATGACCGAATATTGAAAAGTCAGTGTAGAGTCCGATGTGACTCGGACTTCACTGCATGTACATTGGATTTGGTTTTACACATAATTGCCAAATGGATTGTGTGGGTTTTCCTGAGAGGACTGTATCTCTTAGGGGTTTTCCTCCCATGACAAATACTGTCATTCCATCATCTCCTCCACAGGTTCTATATACATGCAGGCTGCATTTTAATACAGTGAATAAGTTTGCTTTCTCTAAGAATTCCTCATGCATTGCAAAACTGTCAGAATGAAATACTTTTAATCTAAACATACATATACCGGTAGCTTTATTCTCTCCTTTTCAAGTTTTCAATATCATAAGTTGACGCTGAAACAATCAGCTGTTCCATGCAAGTTTCCATAGAGCAAAAGTCCCTCACAACAAGCACAGGCCAGAGAAAATTGTCACAATGAACGAGAGAAGAAATCCAGTGACAGGAGCTATATGTGACAGATCTCTGTGATGTTGCCATTGAGGTCGAAGTTGAATGTGAAGCAAAGGAAAACCGGTACATGTATAAATAGATTCCAAGACATCCTTTACAACATGCACTGCCCAAATTCAGACAAATTCTATGCACCAGAGATTTTTAATTAAGGATTTTAAAATGGACCAAGTAGGTGTATTGTACTACACAAGGTTTCAAGATGATCTGACAATCTTTGATGTTCTAGTTTCACTTGGTCCATGTGCCTTTAACTTCAATATGTTCATGGTGTATAAACAAGGCTACCTGTTTATGATCAATTTTTCTTGACGGTTATAAATTACAATTTACAATGTATATATCAAACTTTAAACCTAGCCCTAAGTAAGTGAGACAGAAGTTCACAGTATCACTGTAACTTGGATCAGGTTCATTAATGTACAATGGAGGGAAATAGCCATCCGGCCTGACAGAGACCTTGTGCATTTTTATTCGCCTGGAGACTTTAACCACTTCCTGCTGGGTTCAATTAAAATGGCCATGCACATGTGGCAGAGGCAATTTCCAGTTGTACTTTATATACATATAGGAGTGTTACCCTCAAAAGGTTTGTGGTTAATGTGACATCCCCTTTACACCTTGCATCATCCTTGAGGGAGTTAAGTTGTGCCCCTTGGTTTTAGCTGGGCAGCCCCTTACATTGTATGCAAATTAGGGCCAGAACACTTCCTTGACCATGCCTTTTTCAAGTAGCCTCTCAGTTTGCAGGTCAGCAGTGAAGTGAGCACACCACATGTTTTTCTTGCTCCTTTATTCGCAAGTTCTGCCTCGAAAATCTGGTCTGCTGTAGACTTGTTTGTTTAAGCTTAAGTGCTTTTGATTTGTAACTTTCCTTTTAAGCACTGTTGTCGGTCTTCTTTTTTTTGGTTTCTTTTTCTTAAAATTCACTCTGGTCTTTCTGTTTTTATTTGGTTTTCTTATTTAATTGAAGTTACTTGATTCGTTCATCCTTTTTTTGTACTTTTACAGTTTGGTCTATGGTTTTGTTCAAATTTTGATGGCCTCGATCAGGTTGATCTAGGTTTTCTAGGTCTCAGTCTGTTTGTTAAAGTCTTCAATTAAAACCAGGGTAGTTTATTTTTAAAATTTGTTTAGCGAAATTAATTTGGTTCATAGATTTAGCAGCAAAAATTTAAATTCTGTTTGTAGTTTTATTTGTAGAGTAATCTCATGATCCCTCCCTGAAAGATTTCACTTAGTTTTTGTTGCCATAAAGCGAGTTTCCCACACGTTTAGATTTTGTTCTTTTAGTTTTTTCCCTTTATTGATCTTGAGCTATTTTTCCAGGTTACACACACATACAGGCATTTTTCATGATTTTCCATTTTCAAAATTTTTCAAAAATTCATAACTTCATTTACTTGACATTTACACCCACACGAATGACTGTCTGGTGTCTATACTAATCTAACAGACAACATCTATTGGTGCTCAAGTATTTCAGCTAGGCCTGCCGCCTGGTAAAAAGAGCCCAGATTATGCAGTGTTACATAAGTTACTTTTTCCTGAAACTGGCACAGTGCACCGCTGGCATCTTTTCAAATGGGGCCAGATTAGTGTGCAGTGGTATTGTATCACTCATCATTGGAGCGCTGGAGCACTTTTGTCACCGGTGGTAATCTGCTCACTCTGAATGCCATCGTTCAAAACAATGAACAATTTCCTCTGATATTGACAAGTGAAGAAATGTTGGCAAATCCAGTCTTTTGATCTGAGTACAGTCTTTTGTTATATGGCCTATGTGTAGCTCTTTTGTCCGGCTTCGGGCTCCCTGGCTTTATGTGTAAAGCCTACTTGTGCATGTATGTGCCTGAAACCAGGTACCTCGGCACAAAGTGGTTAAGAGAACCTTTCCCACTACTCGTACAATCTTGGATGGCTTTGACCTTCCTCTTAAGAGACTTAAAGACCTTGCTGCTCAACAAGCCGCAGTTTCTACATACAAGAATCAAAATATAGCCAAATCTGTTGTTGGTATGACACCTGGAGGGTTGATTTCCCATATCTTGCTTCAAATGGGGAAGTCAGTTACAGACAAAATCTCTTG